TTATTGGATCAGTCTACTTGGTTCGCTAATCTAGCTGGAGCCTCCTGGACGCAAATGGGAGGAATTAGGCTGATGCGGGCGGATTCTGGAGGACTCTCGTAGATTCCAGCGGCGCTCCTTCTTCCATAAGGATTCTTTTCCAAATCCTATATGAAGCACTGTTGAATCCACAGGCGCTCCATTTTGTCATAAGGATTCTTTAAGATATCATATATGCAACAGTGGTGCTTTGTTGCACACGGTTGCTGTGGTGCACACAGGCCCCGTGGTGCACACAGGCGCTGTGGTGCACGCAGGCATTGTGGTGTACACTGGAGCTGTGTATGCAAGCGCTATGGTGTACACAAGCGATGTGGTGCCAGCAGGAACTGTGGCACGCACTGGCGCTGTGTTGCACGCGGCTGCTGTGGTAGACATAGGCGGTGTGGTATACACAGGCGCCGTGGTGCACGCAGGCGCTGTGGTGTACACAGGCGTTGTGGCGCAGATCGCCACCGACAAGCTGCTGCTACCCGTCCCCTGTCATTCCTAAGCATTCCCAGAAGCCGCCGGCGCGAAACGGGACGTCATCGGCGCCTTCCACCACCCCCGGCTGATTGCCGTCATCGGCCCGGAATGAAGAACAGGCTCCAGCTGCGTCCGCGCGCACGACGACGATCAGCAATGACCGACGAGCGACGAGCGACAACGAAGGCGACGACGACGATGACGACGACGGCGACGACGACGACGACGATTGCGGACCAGACTCCTATGCGGATTCCTATGCGGACACCTATGCGGATCACGGCGCGCACGGCGGCAGTGCCCAGAACGCACTGGGGGGAGGGAGCGTTACGTCATAGGGGGGGGGGGCGGGTGCCATGACGCCCGTCATGCCCCAAGCAATAAAGAAACGCGCTCAAGGTTGGGACCCCCCAGTGAATCCCCCCACGGTTTTCTGCCAGTTGCGGTAGAACACGTTCTTTCAAACCTTCCTAACGGCACCCTTACCAAAATAACCCGTACTGAAGGAACCATGAGAAGTGACTCCTCACTACAGGGGTCCTTACCGAGGGGATCCGTACTATAGGCACTCCCAATAAGGAACCCTCACGAAAGAGATCCTCTGCCAGGGTGTCGTGGTAAAGGCTCCTGTCCAAACGAACGCTTCCTGCATGCGTCCGCACGATGAGACCCCCAAACCAAACACAGACCCGTACTAGGGAAGCCTTGGTAACAAGAAGGCAACACTGTTAGTGAGCGCGTGTTTGAAGGTACCCGTACTGAAGACTCCCTGCTGAGAGGGGTCGCAGTAAGGAGTCGTTGCGGCAAGGACGCGTAGCGAGGGCACCTTCACGGAAGGCATCCGCACTAAGGGCGCCGCACTGCCACGGGCCCCATCACCAAAAAACAGCCTTCCTGAGCAACCCGTGTCAACGGACGCATAAGGGTGCATGATAAACGAATCCGTATTCCAGGGATCCTTACTGAGGGGATCCTTACCAAAGACATCTCCACTAAGGATTCCTCACTACCGGGGTCTGTACGAAGGGCCCCTTGCAAAAGGCATCCTTACTGGCGAATGCATACCAAAGGCACCGGCACTAAGAAACCCTCACTAAAAGGAATCCGTTGATGCAGACAGCCTTACACATCCATGTTAAGGAACCCTCACTAAAAAGAATGGTTCCTACGGGCCCTTGTTACAGGCATCCGTATTAAGGAGTTCCAGCAATGGCCCCAGCGGAGGCGTTCGCATGGCGTCCCATCGGGGATTCATCAGCCGGGCTTTGCGTGAATCTGAAGCGGGAAGAACGGAGAGCGAGAGATCGAGAGAAGGAGAGAAAGAGAGAGAGAGAGAAAGAGAGAAAACGCGCGAGAGCGAGAGAGAGCGAGAGAGAGAGAGAGCGAGAGACAGAGAGAGAGAGAAAAGAGAGAGAGAGGGGAACAAAAAGGAAGGAAAGTAATCATGTCTTCCTGTCACGCCCCCCCTCCCTGTGTTGTGGGATGTGTGAGAGAGCAGCTAGGCCTCCCACTCATTTCCTCCTGCCGAAGAACTCCTCACCGAAGGATCCGAATCCTTATCAAAAGAATTGGTCGTAAGGCATCCTTCCTGCAGAGACCCTTACTGAGGGGATCCTCTGTGAGGCGAGCGCAAAGTGTGTGAGAGGGAAGAGAGAAAGCGAAAGGTGTTTACCGGTCAGGGCGCCTTGGAATTCACTGTACACTGGGCGAAGCACCGTCGCGCGCCCTGCCGCCGTGCAGCCACCGCCAGGGCGTCCCAAGACGCCCCAGGACGCGCGCGGGGGGTGTCCTGCCGGAGCGGTCCTCCGGACGCGTCCCGAACCCTCGCTGGCCCACGCCAAGAAGGCTCCCGGCGTCAGAGGGCCGCCTGCCGACATCCCCAGCCGTCGCCCCGGCATGCCACACGGAAAACGCGGGCGCCCACGCAGCCCGCAGAGAGTGGGCCCGCGCCTCGAGGCTGCCCACTCTGTCTTCTGCCTCGGCTGCCTCCGCGACGCCGCGACCGCAGGGGAGCCCGTCCGGGGTCCCTCCCAGGAGGATGCCCGTGACATCCGAATGCGTGTCGGCTGCGCGCCGAGAGGGACCCTGGGCGAGGGGGACCGTTGGTGCGCGGCCTTGGGGCCCTTTGGGGACACCGCCAGGCTCCAGGCGCGCAAGCCTCTGCTGTCGCATCGCACTTCGCGATCGGGGGACCCCGATGGGCCCGCACCAGAGGTCACTCCAGCGAAGGGTCACTCTTAAGTACGTGCAGTCGAGCGTGGAAGAGCCGAGCCGTCCCGAGAGGCGCGAGGTGACTCGTGCGAATTGCGCTCCACCAGAGGGGTGCGGAGCGGGGGAGAAGGCGCGCAGCCGCCAAGGATAGGGCGACGAGATCTATACATATCCACTGCTCCTGGCCAGGCCCATCCTGGGCCCAGGAGCTGTGTATATGCCTCCCTGGCCAGGCCAGGAGGGCGTATACACCGCTCCTGGGCCCAGGATTGGCCTGGCCAGGAGCAGTGGATATGCATAGATCTCGTCGCCCTAAAGGAGAGAAGGCCCGCATCAGTGGAGCGGAAGGGCGAGAAGACGCGGGCGGAGGGATGGGGCACGGAGTGCGTCAGGCTACTTCAGCTGACCGTGGCGCCTGCCTGAGGCGGGAAGATGGTGATGAAAGAGCACAAAAAGGATCAGACCGGTAGCCCAACTTCTGGGCACACCACGGACGCCATCAAACAGTCTCTTCGCACAGATACATAACTGCGGCACGCCGCTGTGCTTCAAGGGCGTCTTCTGCACCCGCCACTGTGAGGAAACGACGCTATCGGGAAGGAGAGCCGAGAGGTCCAACTTCGAAATGCTGTCCCGTCGAGTTACCGGGCTCATGACCAGGTCACCCTTCATCGCAGACAAATGTACAGGCAGCACCTTGGAGTCTGCAGGGCCACACCACGGAGGCCTACGAAAAACCAAGGTGCAACGCTCGGGGGGGCAGCGAAGGAGGGAAGCCTCGCCTTGGAATCGGCGACGCACTGCCGGGAGGTCGGCGGCGTGCCCCCGAGGACGAAAAGGGGCACCTCCCTGGGCGGGGTGGGGCCAAACGTGCTGGTGAGAACACCCGGCGGTGCATCTCGGGCAGTTTGGTGCCATCACCCGGTTTTTGGGGATTCGTGACTCGCGTGGTGTTTCCAGGATGTCCCGAGCGCTGGTGGGTCTGGGGGTCACAGAACCCAGCGGCGACCCCGTTTTCCAAACCCCGGCGGTGACTTTTTGGGGATTCCAGGTCACCACCTGACATCTCACCACCTGGCTTGGGGGCTCCCAAGACATGGGGCCCCTCTCGGCGATGCATGGGCGATTGGGCCCCCCCTGGGCCTATACTTAGCCCCCGTCCTTCTTTATCGAGTCTCCGGCGGCCGATCAGGAGGACTCCAGCACATCAGGAACGCTCTGGACGAGGCGGAGGCGATGGAATCCACACCAGGCCCCGAAACGCATCGAAGAACCACAGCAGCGCCCGAACATGCTCCTGAGCCCCGACCCCCCTGAGCCTGTCCCACCTAGCGTTGCTCCTGAAACACTTCCGCGCCCCATATCTTGAGCAGGGACCGACCGCCCAGGCATTCCTATAGTCCTACCACGGAATTCTCTCAGAACCCCACCATGGTCTGAGAAAACAACAGATTATCTTAGAACAGAAGCCCGATGTGTCAACACAAAACAGCCTCAGCCAGAAATGTTCTAAGAACATCCCGTGCAGACCACAAAAACGCTCTCTCGGGGATGGACAGACCTCCCTTTTGTAAAACGTGAATTAGTGAAAACGACCTGAGGCCCAAACCTGGCGGGCGCAAGCCTGGAAAATGACGGCCCCTCTCGAGCACCGAGAACGGACAACTCACCAATCGACGTGTCACTGTTGGGGGCTCTGTCCACCCCCGACTCTCAGTACACTCTTTGGCTGGCCCACGGGCAGGCCAGGACGCTCCGCCACTGCTCCAACGCCTGGGCCCCCCGCCGCTCCCGCCCGCCCTCCTAGGGCGGGCAGGGCCGGCGCGCGCCCGCCCCGCTGCCGGCCCGGTGGCCCAAGCCTCCGGGCGGCAGAGGGCGGGAGGAGGCCCGGAGCGAGCGCCGAGGAGCCCCAGGGCCGCGTCGCGGCAGCGCCAGCACGTGCTCGTCCACTGGAGCCCCCTCCGATGCGGCACCGCCCAATGGAGCGAGGGCCGACAGAGCTTGTGCGTCCGCCGTCGGTGGAGCCGAAGTGGGTGAACACAAACGTACTCACAAACACACGCAACACACAAACACACACAACACACAGCACACACAGACGCACACACACAGACAACACACACACTCGCAAAAACACACAGACTTGGGTTGCCACACGCGCCCTGGGGATCATTGAGAGAGTGCAGCAGACTTCCGGCGGCACCGCGCGAGGGCGGAGCCGGTCCCCGTCTTCGAGGTTCTGGCATCGCCCTGTCCTCGCAGGTGCGGCAGCTCGGCGCACTTCACTTGTCCTCGCCCGTGCCGCCAGTGCCGCCAGCGAACCTGCTGCGGACATAGGACGCTGACGCCTCAGTGGAATCGACCACCTTCGTCTTGCACAAGCTCGCCGTTTCCACCGCCCTGCCCTTGATGTCGATGATCTTGCTCGCCGCAGCGCTGAAGCCCTCGGCGATGCTGTCCTTCTTCTGGTGGACCTTGTACCCAGCCGCGCCTCTCGGGGAACAGCAAGGTACCGATACCGCTCCCCAGACTTCTCCCCGGGTGGATTCTGACCAGAATTTGCCGAAGGATCCAGACGTGGCGACGAGGGTCTCGAGGACGCGTAGCGATATCCGTGTCATTTCCTCCCTTGGGCCTCCTCCTACAAGACCTGCCGTACCCCCAGTCACAGCGCCAGCACACAGGCCCGCGGCGCTGCCGACGGCAGCCCCCACTGGGATGCTGAGGCCGAACGTGAACAGCGAGAACGGCACGCCGCAGGCCGCGCCGAGGGTGCCTCCGGCGACCAGCCCAGCGGCACCACCGCTTGCGCCCATGACTGCGGCACCGCCCACGGCAGACGCTGCAGTGACGCGAGCGTTGGGGTCTTTGGCGATACGCTTGGTCCCGGCCCGCAGCGCAAGATAGTTCACGTGTGCCGCGTCGAGAGCGGTGGCGGCCTTGAGCTTGGACTGCTCCTTGACCCGGAGGAACGCCGAGTTCAGAGTCGCCAGGACATCGGAGAGCCTGGCCTTGATGACGACAACCTTCCCGTCGACGACTTTCTTCATGTACACGTAGCCGTCCTTGAACTGCACGAGAAGTGCGCTCGGGTACTGCATGACCCTGTCCTTGCAATGTATGGCTTTATCCTTGACCGCGAGTGTCTTGACCTTCACCACCAAGGCGATGCCGCACGCCTTGGTGTAAACGATGGTCTTGTACTCCGAAGCCTTGGTGACGATTGGCGACAAGTGGCTGGAGACGGAAGAGATGACAGCCTGGTACATAGCCGCCAGCTTGGCTGTCACAGGCCCAGTATAGCCGCCAACGAAGTCCGAGACCGCCAAGCATCTGGACAGCACGGCGCTCTGAATCAGCTTGGCTATATCTCCCGCCCCCACCTTTATCCTGAGGACGATGTCGCCAACCCTTGCCTCTACATAATGAGCCCCGTCCCTAGCTCTCTGGCAGTACATGGCCGTGGTGCCCCTCGCCTTCGCGTAATAGGGCAGTGCGATCGCCTCGCCCGCCCTGTAGAGCTCCAGACCCCTGGCCTTGATCGATCCGACCCGGACCTCCACGAGCCCACGCGCCGCCCTGCACCTGACATCCGCGAAGCGGCAAGCCGCCCCGTAGGCGGCGAGGGCCTGGTCGGCGCAGTCGCCCGTCAGCCGCATGGCCCGGGACTTCAGGGCAACCGCCCTGCCCCCCGCCAGCGTCCTGGAGGGACCAACAGATACCAATACCGCCACTCCCCAGACCTCTCCTCCCCGGATGCGCTCCGAACAGGACTCCGAGGCGACCCTGGACGTGGCGACGAGGAGAGGGTAGAGGCACTGCTGGTACCTTTTCCTCGTCTTCAGGTCCGAACGCTCAGGACGCCGTCCGTGACCTTCGCGCAGATCGGCGCCATGTACACGACCACGGGCTGCCCCGCCGCCTGCAACCTCTGGACCACGGGACCCGCGCGCGCCTCGATGGCGCCGCGCACCTCTGCGGAGACCTCGACGACCCACACCCTGACCGGCTCGCAGATGCTCCTCGCCTCCGCCTCGGCATACACCAGCAGGCCGCCGATTCTGCCTCGGCGGCTCAGAGGCGGGGGCCCTGAGGGATGGGGCCCTGAGGACAGGAAGTGGATCACGACCGTGACTGTAACCTTTCTTGTTTGAGGGTCTCGCCCTCAGGGCCCCATCTCTCAGGGTGGTCCCCCGAGGTAGTCTCGGCGGGCATCAATAGGCACCCCGAGCACGTCCCAGCTGGCCTCAAAGGGCCCCCCAAGCAGTCTGGGGCTGCGCTGGGGTGTTGAGATCGCCCTGGACTACACGGGGGGGGGGCATTTGAGGCCAGCTGGGACGACTCGGGGGGCCTGTTGAGGCCAGCTGGGACTACCTGGGGGGTTGTCTGTACGCAACCCGAAGCCTTACCACCGCTGAAGTTGTGATCCACTTGCTGTCATCACAGCCTCATCCCTCATGAGGGGAAGAAAAAATTACATAAACATAAAAACTCGGAGGCCCGCGCGGATTTCTCGGATCGGCGCTGGACCCCCCTCCCTGGCGCGCGGAACGCGCCAGGGGCGGCGCCGGAGGCGCCGCCGGGGGGCCCCAGCGCCGATCCGAGAAATCCGCGCGAACCTCCGAGTTTTCATGTTTATGACACTTTTTGATCCCCTACTCATAGCCCCATCCGAAGACCCCCTGCGTCGTCATTTTGTTCTGAGCCTGGACCTGGGCCGGCCTCTCATCCCGCATCGCTTCTTGTTGACCCTGCCAAGGGCCTGGCGTGGGCCCCCAGAGGCCGAGATAGCCAAACATATTATTCCGTCGCTCGTTGTGCTAGGTCGGGCCTGTCGCCCTACAGGGGGATTGTGGGAGAACAAAAAAGCGATGCCGCCGAAATACTCAAAAATGATCCCAAAAAATTGTCGCTGGACTATTGTTGGACTATCTTTGAATATCCCTCCTGTCGAGGGACAGGCCCGACTTCATCGTTGTGCCAGGACCCGAGAAGTGAAGGTCGTTTTACGAAAGCCTATCTCAACCAAAATGCTGGCCAAATAACAATGAATGGCGGCAACCGATCACTGGCACACAGCGGCATACGCCCTGTGACGACCGCCCACCGATCACACCCTGCCCGCCGCAAATGGCGGCTGAACGCCCAAACAACACAACTTCCCGTAAAACTCAAAATCCTTCCATCAAGATAAGCCCAAGCGCATGCTCTTACTCTTCTTATTCGCGATAACGGGCGTGATCAGGGGAGGGGGCGGGGGGAGGTCGTCCCCCCCGATCGCATCACCGCGCGGTGCCGCCGGAAATCCCAGGGGAAATTGTTGGAACAATCCGGAGGGCATCTTTCTGCATATGTGGGCAAACCCGCGTGGCGTGATCCGGGGTGGGGGGCGAGGGGGGGGGGGGGAAGGAGAGTGCCGAGCACGGCCGTTCCCGCCCAGAGCTGCAAAAAACAAACCCGACTCTGAGATCTGACGTTGCGCGAGCACAGTCCAACATCGCAAACAAAAAATCACGACCGGCCCGGACCCCCAGCATCCTGCATCAGTTTTCGAGCCCGATCGATCTGCGAGGGCCCCGGGGCCCGAAACTGCTCCAAAATGCCCAGCTCGAACACATTGCGGCGCCAGGATCTCCAGGTTGGATGGGGGCCTGGCGAGGGCCCCCCCGAAGTCAAACACGGCGAGCAAATCCGCCCGTCCCGAGCTTTTCCACGACACGAGGAGCTCTGGGCCCTCGAGGCCGCAGGAGCCCTCCGTCCTCGAGCCGCCCCTCGACGGCCCCCAGGGGGGGCCGTCGAGCATGCTGACGACGTCGATGTGCGTGGTGAGGAATCTCGGATTGATGCCTGCGTCAAGCAGGTCGAGCAGGCAGTCGGCAAGTGCAAGGTGAAACAAAAACACAAACACACACACCAATGTCGCGCAGCCCTTCGCGCATTGGTGTGTCTTGTTCGACTTGCACTTGCCGACTGCCTGCTCAGCCTGCTTGACGTAGGCATCCATGTAAGATTCCTCACCACGCACATCGACGTCGTCAACGTGCTCGGCTGGTCCCTGCCCGTCTTTGGTCCGTCGACTGCCGATGACGGCGCCGCGCCCGCCGGCGGCCCACCCCGCAGCGCGCGGCTTTGCCGCCTCGGGCTCCGGCGCTTCGGCGGCCTGGCGGCGGTCGGCGGCAGGCGCGGCGGGCGCGGCCTCGGCTGCCTCGGGGCAGGAGTCCCGGAGCGGTGCGGTGGCAGGCCGTGCGCTGACCGCGGAAAATCCAAGGGGCAGCATCATCATCATCGTCATCGTCGTCGGCATCATCATCATCATCATCATCATCATCATCATCATCATCATCACCATCATCATAATCAAAATCATCATCATAATCGTCATCACCAGCATCACCATCATCATGATCATCATCGTCATCATCAGCAGCATCACCAGCATCATCATCAGCAGCATCATCATCACAAACAGCATCATCATCATCAGCAGCAGCAGCATCCTCATCATAATCATAAGCATCATCGTCATCATAATCATCAGCATCATCACCGCCATCACCATCAACACCATCAATACCATCATGATGATGATGATGATCATCATCATCATCAGAAACATCATCCTTATCAGCGTCATCACCATCATTAGCATCATGAGCATCGTCGTCATCATCGTTGTCATCATCGTCATCGCCATCGTTATCGTCATCATCGTCATTCTCGTCATCATCATAAGCCTCGTCGCCATTATCAGCATCAGCATCATCATCAGCATCGTCGTCATCGTCATCATCGTCATCATCACTACGACCATCATCACCATGGTCGTCGTTGTCAGCATCATCATCAATATCACCATTGCCATCGTCGTCGTCATCATCATCATAAGCATCATCACCAACATCTGTGGATTCGCCTTCTTATTCATCTGCATCTTCATCATCATAGCCTCGTCGTCAGCATAATCAACATCATCTCCACCATCATTAGCAGCACTAGCAACATCATCGGCAGCAGCGACATCATCACCCACACCATCAACCACACCAGCATCAACAACGTCATCATCAGCAGCATCATCAAATTGTCGCATCATCATCGTCATCATCGTCATCGTCAGCATCATCGTCACAGTGGTCATCTCGTTGCCAACACCAACAACGTCATCCTCATCACCATCTTCACATAATCATCACATAATCACAGCACCGTCATCATCATCATCATCATCATCATCATCATCATGATCAGCTTCGTTACCACCACCACCACCATCATCATCAAGATCGCCATCATCACATCATCACGATATCTCTGAGCCGAAGAAAAGGAAATTGCTTAAGCATAACCTTTCGAAGGTTCGCGAGGATTTCCTGGATCGGCGCTGGATCCCCCTCGCGGCGCCCCTGGCACCGCGCCTGGCGCGCGCTAGGGAAGGAGTGCCAAAGCCGATGCAAGAAAACAGCGCGGATCTCGGACAATTGCACTCATGCCATGTGAGCGAAGATCAAACACGGGTCTTACGCGAGATGACACGGCGACCTTACGCGGCGGCTTGCGCGGGCCGCCAGCGCACGCTGCGTTGGAGACGAGAGCGCTTGCGCGCGACCCCACGCAGGCAGCTTACGCGCCAACGTCGGCGCAGACGACCCCGTTACCGTGCGCCCCTCATGTCTTTTGCTCCTCGAGCAAAATCCCCCGCGATCTCCGCGCGCGGTCCGTGTCACCGCACGGCTTGGGCACCTCTCTGGAGCCCCCTGGCCACCCGCGACGCCCTCGGCGAGCGACCCGAGCCCCCCCACACCGTGCGCTTCTGCCCCGAGCACCCCCCGCGGAGCCACCGCACGCGGTGGGGTCCGCGCGCCTGCCCTTGGGGGCCCCCCGAGGCCTGCAGGCCGGCAGCGAGCGGGTGCTCCGAGCCGGAGTCCGAAGGCGTGTCGCTCCAGCTGAACTTCTGTTGGCGGCGAGCGAGGGGGGGGGGAAGTGAGGAGGAGAAAGCCTTCTCAGAAGGTGGCGGGATTTCTCAGGAGCCCTCGCGCCTTCCGGGAGGCTTTTCCTGCTCTCGGGGAAGGCTCAGAAAACATCTCAGAAGGCCGGGGGGCTTCCGAGCCTTCCGAGAAGGCCTTCTCCTTCTCACTCCCCCCCTCGCTCGCCGCCGATTCTGGCCGCTGCCAGCCATCATCGCGCCCTCCATGCACTCAGAAGGCCAAGCAGCAGCACTGGCATACGCCTTCAGAGGTCCAGGTCCGCGTTGGGCCCCTTAGGTCCGAGCATTTATGCCTGTGCCGCCTTTGGTCTTCCAAAACTGCAGACTCTGAGAGTGACTGGAGCCCTCGAAACAGCAGCCTTGCCTTGATCCGAAGTGGCTACGCACCCCCCCTGTTGAGAGTCGCTCCCGCTCTCTACCAACATCGAATACACCATGGAGTCCGCAGCCCCTCGTCCCCTCCCACCAACCTACATGCATCCGATATCCTGCTGTGGCGATGTTTAAAGGCCTCCGGAGGAGCCAAAAAAGATTGGGCACGTCCTAACCCTCCTTCCTTCCTCCCACATTCTCTAGAAGGCGTAGGAGGACCACAATTGTATGCATGATGGCTGCGTCCTCGAAGCGAGCGGAGCCAAAAACTTGTCGGGCCTCGACTGTGCTCGCGCCTTGAAACTCAAATAGGGGCACCATCTCGATCAGGCCGAATTGAGCCGGATGAAACCAGATTGGAAATCAGACCTGAATTCGACCCGAAAGAGGTCGCGCCAGAAGAGTAGGTCGCCATGCTCGGTATGTGTGGGCCGCTTCCAAACCCAGGAACCATCAAAACCGACCTGGGATGAAGAGCTGGCGTGCTACAGTCGGGGCGTTGACCTAAGGAACCCTAAATAAGGAACGAGGCCCCTAAGTTAAACTTCAACCTCATATCGAAAACCGAAGGAAAACCTAAGGCAAGCCGCGAAACAATTAAGGAACACGGAGCCCCTCCCCAATGAAAAGGGTTCCTTCTTCAGCGCCCCGACTGTAGCAAAGGGGGTCGAGAGCTCCAGACCGGACGACCACGCGACGTCGCCGGGCATAGTTTCCGGGCGCAGGATCGGCCCTGGCCCCTGCCAGGAAAGAGCGTGGGCCGCGCGAGCCACCATCTGGGGGAGCTCCGGCCCAGGACGACTCGGGCCCCTCCTCCTCCTCCTCCTCCTCCTCCTCCGCCTCCTCCTCCCCCTCCTCCTTTTCCTCGGGCCCTGGGCGCACGGATCAGGAGGTGCCCCTGACCACCCCCAGGCCCCAATGATCCGGGAACGGTGGGACGCCCGGACCATCCCAGCGAACTCCAGCCTGGGACACATCTCCGGTGGTGGGCTCCCGACGCCGCAGGAACCAGGAGTTGCCCCTGACCGCCCCGGCCCTGCTGAGTCGGGGCTCTGACGGGGCGGTCCTCACCAGGATCGGTGTCGGCGTGCAGCTGGGGGCTCACCGGGAAAGGCAAGCCCAAACCCCCGGCGTCACGATTTTTCGCACGGAAGAATGGGCCCGTGCCCAGGGACCGGTTTCTTGTCCTGGGTCGTTTACTGACGGTCCTGGGGCCCAATGAAAGCCCCCAGAGGCCGAAAGTGGCCTGACCCGAGGGGGACTTTATCTCGCCATCGCTCGAACGTCCATTGCCCGTGCATTTGTCGGTTTCGTGCGTGTACTTTTCGCAGGATGGTCCAAGATGCTCCTCGAGGATCCTCGCCGAGAAAAAATACACACGTCCGAGCGATTCCAAGTTATCCTCACCCAAGGGGGGATTACAGACCGTGCCCCCTCGACGCGGCCGAAGGCGCAGGCGAGCCGAGGGGCCCGGGAGGGTGGGCAGAAGGGCCCGTGCCGCCGCACGGGCCAGTCTGCAAGCGACGAGCGGGCAGGGCAGGCCCTCAAGAGGGCAAGCGTCGACCTCCGCTCGGAGTGGAGGCCTGCCGCCAGACCGCATCGGGTCGGACGGCACCGACGAACCCCAAGATCCTGTCGTCTCATCTTTTTCCAGCTGGGCGGTTTCGTCAGGCTTCGGGCCCCTGGACCCTCGCATATCGATCCAGGTTGAAGGATGGCGCAGAAAAATTGGTCTAAAGCCCTGGTCGTGATGTCTACCCAGGTCTTAACTTTTTCGCGCCGTCGGCTCCCAGGGACCAGGAGGTCGCGCTGACGGGGGGAACCCACGCCGCGGGCTTCGGCGGCGCCGTCGGTCCTGAGCAGCACACTGGACAGGCAAGAGGGGGAACACGAAACACTGCCACCGAGAACCCCTCGGAGGGGGGCCGACCTCTGGGCGGCGGCACGCCCTAGCGTCACCCAGCGCAGGACGACGCTCGGGCATGCCACCGCCCAGGGGTCCGTCCCATCCGACTCGTGGCGCCCCCAACCTGGATAGCGACGCAGTCCAAAGCGCGTGCGACGCCCGCTGGGAGGCGCTGGCGAGGATGCTGGAAAGGCTGTCTGGGGAGCCTGCAAGCTCGAGAGAGGGGCTTCGCAGGAGCTCCCAAGGAGCTTCGAAGGAGCTGCGGAAAAGGCTTCCGGCACGCGCATGGTAGAAACGGGGAAAACGGCACAAACATAAGTTTGTGGCGTTCCGCGCGGATTTCTTGGATCTGCGCGGGATGCCCCTCCCTGGCGCGCGGAGGCGCCGCCGGGGGCGCCACAACGCGATTCAAAGAAATCCGCGCGGAGCGTTGAAAGTTTACGTTTATGCCGTTTTCTCTCTTTCGATATTGGGACCGAGTAGGAAAACGCCTTCGGGGCCCGCTTGAGCCTAAGTCAAGCCGCTGCGGGGATGCCTGACCTGGAGCGGGCAGGGGAAGCTGCCGTAGCCCTGACAGCCTGCTACATCCCATTTATCGGGCGGATGGTAAGGGGGCGTGACTTACATCTCGGGGATGGACAGACCCCCCTTTAGTAAAACGTGGTTTAGTGAAGACGCCCTCGGGCACAAACCTGGCGGGCGCAAGCCTGGAAAATGACGGCCGCGGCGCCCTCTCGAGAACCGAAAACGGCCAATTCTTGAATCGACGTGTCAGGGTAGGAGGTCTGTCCACCCCCGAACATGGGGGGTGAAGAAAGGGGCCCTTTAAGGGCCCTTTAAGGGCCCTGTAGGGCTCCTTTTGGAGCCAGCTGGTGCCCAGAAGGGGCCCCAAAGGGGATCCCTCCGGTGCCTTTTTCTCTGAGGCCCCCCGCGCAGGCTGAAGACAAGTGCAAGCCTTCCGCCATCATGTTTGCAATGCTCGAGGGGGTTTGTGAGCGCCCCCCGAGGGCCGAAGCCGAGGAAAGGCTCTGCGACTGAAGTCGGAGCGTTGGAGGTCTGGGCGCACAGCTGCGCCATCCTGCGGGCCCCAGGTGGCCACGGCCCGGCGCGGCGGCGGTGCATAGGGGCGGGGGCGGCATGATGTGTGGAACCGATACGGTCGGCCCGTATCAGAAGCGCGGTAAGGCTGCAAGTGCCTTGGACGCCCATGTCGAAGCTTTGCAGGCAGAGCGCGACCAACGAAAGTGGCCAAGGATGGACCGAGGAGGCAAGGATGCCAAGGGTAACTACCCTTGGGAAGGATGCCCATTCTTCTTGTGCGGGTTGACTGTACCACTGCTGCTCACGCTTCTGACAAACACGGCCAGGGTTCAGATCGGGGAGACCTACGACTCGGGTTCGGGGGGCTCGGGTAGGACTGACGGAAGGCCATCATGAAAATGACGAGACGCAATCTGAAGTTTGACGAGAGCTCCCGGTGCAAACATCTCAGGGAAACTGCACCGTCAAAATCCAGGACGCACTCGTCAAAAAGCGTCGGCAAACCCGAGTTCAGGAGTATTCGAGTCTTACCTTTCCCCGATCAGAATCTCAAGGATGCATGCAGCCAACTGAACCGAACGCGGAGTGTCCGATGCCATAGCGCCGATCGGACCCGCAGAGAGTCAGGGTTCGCTCGGGCGCCGCCCGCAGATGCCGCAGAGTTAGGCCATGGCCGAACGTCATGGGCATTCCTAGAGGCCTACCACGACATGCTCTCAGCACAAAACACAGTGTCCTTAGAACGAGAAGCAGACGTATTTGAACAAAACGGTCTCAGCCAGAAATGTTATGAGATCCTTTTCGTGCCAATCGCAACACAAGTTCTGATAGCAGATCCTCCGGTGGGCCTGTGTAGGCAAGCCAAGACGCTTCCCTAATGCTTGGCGTAGGTCGGACATGCCCTCCGACAGGCGGATTTTGAAGGAACAGTAAAACACAGGTGTAATTCAGATAGTCGAAAAATCGTCCCCAGACTATGTCAGGAGCCGGCAACCCGTTTCTTTGGGCTCTCTTGGAGCGCTCTTGGGCGCTCTTGGAGCGGCTTGGGGGCCGTTTAGAGCATCTTGGAAGCCATCTTGAGCCAGCTTGGGGTATCAGTACGCAAAATTTCAGTCGAGATTTTTCGAGCCAACTGGCCCGCCAACGCGCCGGGATTACTCTTAAGCTTCGCCGCGTCGCTCTTAGGGAAGCTCTACGAGTCACTGTAGGCGACTGCGTCTGAATATTGCCCGACTTCATTAGAGGCCTCATAGATGGGGTCCGAGTAGATGGGGTCGGAGGATCCCGCCGCATCGCCAATGCATCGCCGATGCATCGACGATGCATCGGCGATGCATCGGCGACGCCGGCGGTGCACTGGCGAAGCCGGCGCGGAGAAGATCGGGCTCCGCATGGAGCCGCATCGCCGATGCATCGGCGATGCGGCGCAGCCCTCCGACCACATCTACTTGGACCCCACTTGGGAGGCTTAGATTCATGCCCGACTTCATGCTCGGCAGAGGCCGCCGGGGCGGCGGCCCACTCCGCGGCGGCGCCCGCGGAGAGCACGGCGTTGCCCGCGGTCCACCCGCCCACGCACGAGCCGCCGGGGAGGGCCCGCGGAGGACCCCCCCCCCCACAGGCCGGCTGCTGCCTCCCTGTAGACTAGCGCGCTGCACTGCTCGCAGAGTGACTCCTCCTCCTCCTCCTCCTCCTCCTCCTCCTCCTCCTCCTCCTCCTCCTCCTCCTCCCTCCTCCTCCTCCTCCTCGTTCGTTCGTTCGCGGCTTTAGGGCAGAGAGTGGAAGCCCGATCACAGAGGGTGGACGGCAAAAAGAGTGGGATGGGGGGCGAGAGCGGCGGCGGCAGCAGAGCCAGCAGCCAGCAGCAACGGTGAAGCCTCGGCTCTGAGCA